GCATGTAAAAATGCAAATAGAAAAATAGAGACCACTTTGGTGGGAAGGTAACAGCATTCCATGCGCCTACGGGCGTTTAGTCATGCTGGCCACATGACCATGGAGACGTCTTCAGACAGCGCTGGCTCTTTGGCTTTGTAACAGAGATGAGCACCACCCCCTAGAGCCAGAAATGACTAGCACATATGTGCGAGGGGAACCTTTACCTTAGTTGGTGGAACTCAAGAAGAGGGCATGTGATCAGTCTGTAGGTGATGTGACCTACAAATCCCTTCCAACTCATCTATAGGTCAGATCGCCTACAGACTTTGATTCGAAGACGTTGGCCAAATTGTTCAATTTTAGTCAATAGTCCATCTTAAAGTCTGAAGATATCTGAGACTTCCTAAGCTGCATGGAGTTCCACAAAATTCACAGTGAAGCTTCTTCTCCTTCTCCTTCACATTATCATAATCATAATTGTTTGCTCATTCCCTAGTGCCAGATCTCAAGGTACAAGCACCCACCCAAAGAAAGTTATGGATGTAAACATCAGCCTAAAACAACAGAGCTGGATACTAGATGAGAAATGCTGTATGCCTAAAGAACCCCAATGAGTGTTGCAGAGGAAGCATGAATTGCCTCTCTCCGCATTGGACATGATGCATTCCCAAGACCTCATTTGACTTAGGAAAAGGAGGAAACCCTCCAACCCTTGAAAACAGGGTGTTGGGGTTTTTTTTTGCTTCTGGTATGGTTTGAAAAAGAAGAAAAGGCTGCAAGGCAGAGTGTTGACTAAGGCAGACAAATGATCCTCCTGCTTCTCCTTCTCATGCTGCTTCCTCATGCCGCTGATAGGACAGTCACTTTGAAATGCCCTCTGAATCTGAAGAGGAATGAAGTTGAGCCACTGAATTATTACAAGCCAGGAGACCTTCTTCTGGGTGGGATCATCGGTGTGATGAAAGCAACCTTCCTCCCATACGATTTCAGCAGGAGCCCCTCTATAAAGTTTAATCGGTAAGTCACACCAGGTACTGTGAAACTGCTTTTCTGCTGGTCTTTGCTAACATCCAGGCTTCCAGGCAACTCCAGTTTCATTGTCATCTTTCATCCATTGCTGTCTTCTTGTGTCAGGGGTGGAATTTGTGAAGCAAGGCTGGCCAGGCTCCACAGAGAACTCTGGAAAAAACATAGCTCTTCTTGACATGGCAACAAAGCCACAAAACTAAAGCTACATCTCTGTGTACCTTTTCAAGGTCTCTCCTAGATCAGGTTTTCAAGATCAATTGTTCTTGAGAGGAAAAGTTTGGGAGGGGGCAATACAGCCCCTGTGTAGTCTTCTAAATGTTGAGGTTCCTTCTGAAATGTGAAGGAGATACCCACTTGCTTTCCTGTCCTCTTAACTGAAGTGGCAGAGTGGGTTTCCTCCACACACATTCCATGCCTGATCATTAAATGATAAGAGTAATTGTGGAAACTAAATTTCATAGGAGGGATTTGAAAATGACTTCTCTTTCTTCTGAAATAGAGAGGAAGATGGAGATATGGGATATGTCAGTGTTCCAACTAACCAACTCCAAACCAATAAACTCTGAGAAAACAATTTCTCAAAGTTCCATTTTATTAGAGTTGTCATATTGTCACATCTGGGAAAACCCAAATCTGAGAGTGCCGGGTTTTCCCTTCTCAAAAGGGAAAGCAAAGATCCATTCCCTGCACCCACCAGGTCCAATCAAATCTTCATCCTAACTGGAGACATCCTGCCAGACACTCATCTCCAGGTGCAGGGTGACATGTCCTTGACTCTCTGAGAAAGAATGTTGTTGTGTCTAATCTTCTACCTCACTATGAAATTCCCCCCTCCCAAATTCCCAAACACTAAATGTGGCAGCCTCAAAGCTTCCAAGTAAAATAATGGTTTCCAGGGCTGACAGGATAACTGCCCGATATCTGACAGACCAGCCTTGCAGGACTAAGAGCAAGGGGTGGACATTTCAAGGAAGAGGGAGATGTAACCACTAGGACAGATTTTGAAGCATGGGAAATATTTCACAGCTCAGAAGGTGGTGATTTCTCTCCCTGGAAGCATCTCAGAAAAGTCTAGATGACCACCTATCAAAAAAAGCACTTTTTCTCTCTACAAAGTAAATATAACAACTGAACCTTTAGAGATTGTCCACAATTGTTTTGGGCTAAGGAGGGACCTTAGAGATCATGTATGATTTTCTCTGCTGAGAGAGAGAGAGAAATGATTTTGCCAGCATCTCAACTGAAATTATAGAGAACAGGCTGGACTTGGATTTAGACCAGGAATCCAATAAACAAGCAAGAAATTAAAGATATGTGCATGGGGGACACAGGAGACTTGCTGTGATGGAATCTATGGTTGGAAGTAGGACGCAGTGAGCCAAATACAGCAATCTTGAGACTTGAGAATAGAATAGAATAGAATAGAATAGAATAGAATAGAATAGAATAGAATAGAATAGAATACAATACAATACAATACAATACAATACAATACAATACAATACAATACAATACAATACAATACAATATACTACAGTACAGTACAATAGAATAGAATAGAATAGAATAGAATAGAATAGAATAGAATAGAATAGAATAGAATAGAATAGAATAGAATAGAATTCTTTATTGGCCAAGTGTGTTTGGACACACAAGGAATTTGTCTTGGTGCAAATGCTCTCAGTGTACATAAAAGAAAAGATACATTCATCAAGAGTCAAGAATCATAAGGTACAATAATAATAGTCATAGGGTACAATAAGCAATCAAATCATACTAGGAAACAGTCGATAAAAATCATTAGGATACAAGCAACAAGGTTACAGTCATACAGTCACAAGTGGGAGGAGATGGGTGATAAGGAGTGATGAGAAGATTAATAGTGATAGGGTTTTAGATTTTGATAATATTGTAAGATATAAAGATCTATTACATCAAACCGGAGAGTTAACGGGTAGGAATCAAATACAAATTCAAGGAAAAGAGATAGCATGGTGGCCCTATGCGCAGATACAATCGCATTACAAAAAAAAAAAAAGAACAATTTGGTTTTAACCTGACCAACCAAGAATTAGATAGAATTTGGCATGGAGAGGAAACGAAGCTGATTAGTAAAATATATAAATATCTATTGGTTTATAAATTAAAAGAAGAAACAGTTAAAGAGTGTATGATAATTTGGGCAAAAAATGTGAGCCACAGTATTGAATTAGACAAGTGGGAACATATTTGGGAAACAACCTGCAAACTAATTATGTCAGCCTCGTACAAAGAGAATCTCTATAAAATGGTGTATCACTGGCACTTGCCACCCGCGAGACTGGCTAAGATGTTCCCGAACCTCCCCGCAAACTGCTGGAAGTGTAAGTGCACCCAGGAAACATACTCCCATATGTGGTGGACAAGTCCATTTGCACAGAAATTTTGGAAAAATATCAAAAATTGGATTCTAAATATAACTAAACAAGAAATAAAATTTGAACCTGAAACCTTCTTGCTGGGTATGATAGACTCAAAAATAGAAAAAAAAATATCAATATTTAATCTTGTACATTATAACAGCAGCCAGAATAAGTTATGCTCAAAATTGGAAACTGTCTATTGTGGCCCTTCAGAGGAGATAGTCATTAAAAAAATTCACGAGTGTGCAGAGATGGACAGCCTAACCAAATTACTAAAAAACAACAACAACAGTGAATACTACAAAGTTTGGAACTGTTGGTATGAATGGTTAAAGAAAAAGTAACATTTGATAACTGAATAAGGTATGAAATTATGAAGGACGTGCGTTTAATTTTAAAGTATTCTGTGAAATTAAAACATTAAAAGAACAAGGAAGGTATTGTAACAAGGTAGTTCACGTCAATGTTATGGGGTAAAAGAAAAAAAAAGAAAAGAAAAATGTAACCAATGCTCAACACCTGCTGCAAAATGTATCCATGTATATATATTTGTTTTCTTATATTTCTATATATTCGTTTATATATTTGTTCGTTTCTTTATAAATGTTTTAAATATATGAAACTTAAATAAACTTTATTTTAAAACTAAAAAAAAAAGAGAAGGAAGAGCATAGACATGCATGATGGTCCAGAACAGAAGTCTCCAAACTTGGCAACTTTGGGACTTGTGGACTTCAACTCCCAGATTTCTCCAGACAGCTGTCTGGAGAGTTCTGGGAGTTGAAGTTCATGAGTCTTAAAGTTACCAAGTTTGGGGAACCCTGCCCCAGAATCATATATAATCTCTACATTAAATCAAAGGGTTAAAAACATTAAGGGAGACTTTGGGAGATGTTCTGTAAGAGAATTAATAAAGATGACCCATTTTGTTCCATTAAAAAAAAAATCGTTATACAAGCAACAAGGTTACAGTCATACAGTCACAAGTGGGAGGAGATGGATGATAAGGAATGATGAGAAGATTAATAGTGATAGTAGTGCAGACTTAGTAAATAGTTGGACAGTGTTGAGGGAATTATTTGTTTAGCAGAGTGATGGAGTTTGGGGAAAAAAATGTCCGTGTGTCTAGTTGTTTTGGTGTGCAGTGCTCTATAGCATCATTTTGAGGATAAGGAGTTGAAACAGTTTATGTCCAGGATGTGAAGGGTCTGTAAATATTTTCACAGCCCTCTTTATGACTCGTGCAGTATACAGGTCCTTGATGGAAGGCAGGTTGGTAGTAATTGTTTTTTCCTGCAGTCCTAATTATCCTCTGAAGTCTGTGTCTGTCCTGTTGGGTTGCAGAACCAAACCAGAGGTGCAGATGACAGACTCAATAATTCCTCTGTAGAAGCTGTTCTCTTTGGTTTTGCCCACGGAGAGAAGCCAAGGACTAACCAAACTAAGCCTCTACCTCAATCCACAGTTGAGATGTGTTATACATTTGAGTCGGCTCTTTTGCTGGGGTTCCTTGGGCCACTCTGTCTGGTCCATGGAGCTCAGTGCTCCACTGTTGGATCTCGAAAGCCTGTCTTTGCTTTGGACGAAATGGGTGAAGTTCAAGGTGTAAGAAGCAATCAGTGGGTGCAGGCAAGGAGTCTTTGAGGCTTGCTGGATCCCTTTCACCTAAATGGAAGTCTCTGACTTCAACCCTCCTGGAATCACATCCTTCAGGACTACCGTTCTTGGATGCCCCTGACTCTACTTCCTCTCCCTCCTATTCATCAGAAAATATATCCAGCTTCTGGGTATTTCTGCAGGATCAGGCAAGAGACATTCTAGGGCTGAACATCCAAAATTATATAGTTCCTCTTCTGATTTTAAAGAGCTCTATTACAATGATTTTCCTCCTGTTTTATGATTGTTTTTGAGCTATGTACAAATACATTTAATTTTTATTGTGCTTTTCACTACTTCACTTGATTGCATAGATATTGCTCAGAAAGCTATTTTATACAGGCTGTTGGGTAAACGATGGTAGTGAGAAGTTAAACTATATAGTTGATTATTTCTTGCTTTTGTATTATTATAGAATAGAATAACAGAGTTGGAAGGGACTTTGGAGGTCTTCTAGTCCAACCCCCTGCTTGGGCAGAAAATCCTACATCACAATATACAATATCTTCTATTGTATTGTGTATACTACTCTTTTTGCAGACATGAAGTTTGACATGTTAGCGGATTGTTCTTCTTAGTTTTGGAGTATCTAAAACCCTCTATGTATTTTAGGAGATATAAAAATGAGATTATTTTTATTAATGATGGTGTGAAATGTATATATTTTCAGCAAACTATCCATGTTTCCCTGGAAAATTCTCTCCTTCCTTTTTGCCATCCAGGAGATCAACCAGGATCTCCAGCTGTTTCCCAACATCTCCCTGGGCTACAACCTCCATGACAGTTATTTCAGCAGAACCATGACTTTGGATGCTTTGTTGGATATGCTTTCCACCGGAGAATCAAATATTCCGAACTATAGATGCGGAAGGCATACGAGACCCTTACTTGTTTTTGATGGGTCCAATACTGACATTGCCATCCAGATAACAAATATGATGGACATTTCTAAAATCCCACAGGTTTGTATGTGTGTGAGTCTGTGGGCTAAATCTACTCTGAATCCTCCATGAATTTAAAAGGGCAGCTTATGATCATGGAAATATTAGGCATATTGCAATTGGAGTGGCTCTAGATTCACACATAGGGCAAAGGATTAAAACAGCCAGATCTAAAACACTATTCTGGTTATGTTCCTCCTATTTGAGGAAGAAACATCTTCTACTCAAAGCCAGGTGGGGAGGAAGTCCAACCTATGAGTAGACCAACCATAGAAATTGTCTCCTGAAAATAACCTTCCCCCACAAAACTTGAGGTCCTTCTATCTTATAAAAAACCACATTTTTTAATCATAGATTTATTTTATTTATTTTGTCAAGCAAATATTAGATAACAGGAATAAGTATAAACAGGATTATGAATATATGAAATGGATACAATTCAGAGGTGTATTCAGCAGACTCTGACCAGTTCTGGAGAACCGGTAGCAGACATTTTGAGTAGTTCAGAATACCACCTCTGTTCAGCCCCATCTATTCTCTCCCTCCCAAGTCCCAGCTGATTGGCTGGGTCTTCTTTTGTTACCCTGCACATGAGAATGGAGCTGGAAAGCAGGTTAGTGGGGTGGGGAGAGAATGAGGATTTTACAGTATTCTTCCCCTGCCACACTCACCAAGCCACACCCACCAAGCCACACCATGCCCATCAAGCCAGCCCACAGAACCAGTAGTAAAAAAATTTGAATCCCACCACTGATACAAATAAAAAGAATCATTAGGACAGGGATGGTAGGCATGTTGGTGTGCTTATGCATGCCCCCTACAGATCTCTTGGGAAAGGGGTGAGGTCAATAGTAGACAGTCTAAGGTTAATGTTTTGGGGTTTGGGGGAAGAAACCACAGAGTCAGGTAGAGTATTCCAGACATTGACCACTCTCCTGCTGAAGTTGTATTTCCTGCAATCGAGTCTGGTGTGGTTTACCTTGAGCTTGTATCTCTTGTGTACTCATGTACTATTGTGGTTGAAGCTGAAGTAGTCATTGACAGGTAGCACATTGCAATAGATAATTTTATGTACTACACTTAGATCAGACTGAAGGCGGTGAAGTTCTAGGTTGCTAAGCCTAAAATTTCAAGTCTGGTGGCATAAGGTATTCTATTACAAGTAGAGGAGTGGAGAACTCTTCTCGTGAAATATCTCTGGACTTTCTCAACTGTATTAATATCCGATATGAATTGCAGGTTCAGTTGCTAATATCTTGGCTTGGCTTTGACTCAACGTATAGCTCAAACATTTTTTCTTTTCCAGATCAGTTACACTTTTGTTTCACAGGATCTGAGTGATAAAAGTGTCTTCCCTTTTTTCTACCAAGTGGTCCCCAAAGAAGGAGCTCAATATCTCACAATTATCAAACTGCTCCAGCATTTTAGATGGACGTTGGTCGGTCTGGTTGCACCAGACTCTGATGGTGGGGACATGTTCATCCGAAATTTGACACCTTTGCTTGTTGGGAATGGCATTTGTGTTGTTTTATCCCAAAGCATCCCAGTGGCTGCCCATGAACTAACAGCTGATACTTATGAATTTTGCAAGTGGACACAAGTCAATGTCTTTGTTTGCTCTGGAGAGGTTGATACCTTTGTAGTGGGAATATTCATAACACAACAGATAATTGAGTTCTGCATAGAAGCCACAATTGGAAAGCTCTGGATCACTTCAGCTATGTGGGATATTACTTTGGATTTACAGTATATGTCACACATTTATCCATCCATCTATGGCTATATTTCCTTCTTGATCCAGACAGGCAGAAATGCCAAATGTGATGATTTTCATTCTGTTCTTAGCTCTATCAAAGACTTTATCAACAAAGTGTTTCCTTGTTCCTATTCCAAGCATGGCTTGTCTGTGAAAGGATGGACAAGATGCCCAGAGAAAGAGAACACAAAAGCTCTGCCCCAAGAAGAGATTGAAACAATCCTGTCTCTCGACAGCTACATCATTTATCACTCCATCTGGAGTGTGGCCAGAGCCTTAAATGCTGCGTATTCTTCCAGATCCAAGAGGAAAGTGAAGGGTGAGAAAGATCAGTTGACTGTCCAGGAGTTGAAACCATGGCAGGTATTCTTTTTGCATATATTACTGTTCTTTTATACTATTTTAACTGTAAACCTATCTAGTAGAGTAGAGTAGAGTAGAGTAGAGTAGAGTAGAGTAGAGTAGAGTAGAGCAGAAAAGAAAAGAAAAGAAGAAAAGAAAAGAAAAGAAAAGAAAAGAAAAGAAAAGAAAAGAAAAGATGGAATGGAATGAAGAAGAATAGGATGGGATAGGATAAGGAATAGAATAGAATAAGGAGTAGAATAGAGTAGAGTAGAGTAGAGTAGAGTAGAGTAGAGTAGAGTAGAGTAGAGTAGAGTAGAGTAGAGTAGGAATCGGAATAGGAATCGGAATAGGAATAGGAATAGGAATAGGAATAGGAATAGGAAGCAGAGTTGGAAGGGACCTTGGAGGTCTTCTAGTCCAACCCCCTGATTAGGCAGGAAACCCTATACCATTTCAGACAAATGGTTGTCAAATTTTTTCTTTAAAACTTCCATTGATTCCATTGACCTAGACAACTTATAGCTACGCCAACCTACGGTCTGACCTAAGTTAGTACACAAAATTGTCTGCTACAACATCCTACCTGTCAATGACTACTTCAGCTTCAACTACAATAACACATGGACAAACAAGAGATACAAACTCAAAGTAAACCGCTCCAAACTCGATTGCAGAAAATACAACTTCAGCAACAGAGTGGTCAATGCCTGGAACTCACTACCTGCCTCTGTTGTTACATCCTCAAACCCCCAAAACCTTAATCTTAAATTGTCTACCATGGATCTCACTCCATTCCTAAGAAGTTTGTAAGGGGGTGTGCATAAGTGCACCAGCGTGCCTACCATCCCTGTCCTACTGTTCCCATTTATTCATACTCATTTATTATGTATATACTTATACCTGTTTATACTTATGTTTATATGTTATGTTCATACTTCTACCTGTTTTCTCATACATGCTTGACAAACTAAACTAAATAAAAATAAATAAATAAAATAAAATTGTTGGTACATTCACAACTTCTGGAGGCAATAATCACTGAATAATCATTCTAACTATCAGGAAATTTCTTCTTAGTTCTAGCTTTTTTCCTTGATTAGTTTCCATACATTGCTTCTTGTCCTGCCCTCAGGTGCTTTGGAGAATAGCTTGACTCCCTCTTTTCTGTGGCAACCTTTGAGATATTGGAACACTATCATATAACCCCTAGTCCTTTTTTTCATCAAACTAGACATGCCCAATTCCAGCAGCCATTCTTCATATGTTTCAGCCTCCAGTCACCTAATCATCTGTGTTGCTCTTCTCTGCACTCTTTCTAGAGTACATGAAGTTCATTGTTTTATTCAGAGATTTAGCTTTTCTGATACCCTTTCTATTGTCTCAGACTAACTGCATGCACTTTTCCATACTAATGTATCACTCCTTCTTTTCACCCTCTATAGTATGACCAAATTCATTCATTGGACTTCTCTGTTTGTTGAGTAATTTCAACCTCTTCCTCTTCTTTCCTTTATATGTCTTCAGTTTGTTTTGGATAAATAGTATCATTTCATTGCTATATTTTTATCTTGGGGGGAGGTCATGCAAAAAATCTCTGTTCTACCTGCTAAATCATGTTGGTCTAGGAAATAAGAATTTAAGCTCATCTTTCTTATTTCCCGTGGTCTGAGCATCAATGTACAGACAATGAAGTTCATTTACTTTATCGACCAATCTCCTTTAAGACGTTATCTTTCATATTAGCCACACACCCCACTTTCTGTATTACACAACCCTTTAGGTCTGATCCCAGCAAGACAATAAAGGCCATGAATTTTGTGAATGAATGTCTGTCCTTATTTTTATTGATTGATTTAATGTACTCCACTAGTGCAGCTATTGTATTTTTCCACCACACAAGACTTTGAGAATTCAGTTCACTGGAATCCTGAATCCTGGGAGTTAAATTACAAGACATTTGTTGAGATGGGTCTAAAGTGCTCTTGGGATCCCTAGGAGAAGGGATACCATCCATATCTCTGGTGGGATGCTGCTTCAGAGGGCAGGGCAACAACAGAGAACACATGTTTCCTCAATCCCCCAATATGACAAAGTTTAATAGTGGGAAGCTGAAAGTCTGTAAATATATATAATTATCCATTTCTTGGGGATTTTTGTAAATATGAATATCCTATGCTCACTTCATTCTCCTGAAAATGAAATATTTTGCACATAAATAATAAACCTTTATTGTCAATGCACAACATGTGTACAATAAGATTGGCTGAGCCTCCATTTCTCCCAAACTTCATCTCTAGTTCTTCCATGTTCACCACCACAATTTTCATCTCCATAGAAAGAGAATCCTACCTTATGGTGTGCATTTTAGTCACATCATTCAAGATTTAACATTTTTCTTTCATGTATCCATCAATTACTGCAGTTCTTGATATCAAGCAACCTTCATTCAGATATCTTACAATTTTTCATTTCATAAGTGAATAATACAACTTCCTCTGTTTGATATCATTTTCTTGAGCAGAGATTATATTACATTCCCAAATCACAATTTCCCACATGCTGTGATCAAAACCAGGTGGGAATATAAATATTAAGCTTCTTATTAGAGCTGGAGTCAATTGTTACAATTATAACAATTTTAAGTAAGCTAGAGAAGGAGTAAATTTCTATGGTAACGATAAATGTGGGATTGTGAATATATGCAGAACTATCAGTACTCCTGTACTTGTCTCTCTTCTCTCTTCCCCTGCCTCTGTTATTTTAGCTTCACCGTTTCATGCAAAACCTCTTCAAGCTTAATAATAATTCCTTGGATGGATTATATTTGGATGAGAGTGGAGAGCTGGCTGCTGATCTTGACATCATAGGTTCAGTCCAGTTTTCCAATAAGTCAGTTGTCCGGGCAAAATTTGGGAGCCTAGCAAGGCAAGGATTGCCAGAAGCCATGTTTACCATTGACCAAGATGCAATGATGTTCCCCAAATGGCTAAATGAGGTGAAGTAAATTCTTTTTCCCCAATTTTTTTCAACCCCAGAGAAAGGCGAATGAAAGAAAAGAAAGAAAGAAAAAAAGAAAGAAAGAAAGAAAGAAAGAAAGAAAGAAAGAAAGAAAGAAAGAAAGAAAGAAAGAAAGAAAGAAAGGAGGGAGGGAGGGAGGGAGGGAAGTCATGCTCTTTTTAAGATTGACTCTAATTATATTATCTTGCAGGAGTAATTTTAATGCTCTGCCTCACTTTCTGATACTCCAATGAAATAAGGAGGTGTCTGTCTTAGCCATTTCCAGATATTCTCGCTCTTGATTAACAAACATTTCAGACCCTTTTGCCTTGATAATCATATTTCCTTCCAAGGGCCCTGCAGATAATTCTATAACCCATCTCTCTCTAGCAAAGACTAAGTCACCTTAGACCAAGGGTCTTCAAATTTGGCTAGTTTAACCATTGTGAACTTAAACTCCCAGAATTCCCAAGCTAACATGACTGGAGGAGGAATTCTAGGATTTGAGTCCACAAGTCTTAAAGCTGTCAAGACAGAACCTTAGACAGAACCATCAGATGGCTGTCAGCAGAAGTAACAATGATGCACCCTACACATTGCCCATAATGTTTCTTCTATATAAATTAGTAGACCAGTGAAATACTGTGGACATAATATACTTAGATTTCAGCAAGGCTTTGACAAAGTAGACCACAACCTACTTTTTGGTAAGCTAGAAAAAGGTGGGAGAGATAGCACCACTACCAGATGGATTCACAACTGGCTGAAAAACCGTACACACCAAGTAGTCCTTAATGGGTCTAAGTTTACATGGAGGGAAGTAAGCAGTGGGGTGCCACAAGGTTCCATATTAGGCCCAGTACTCTTCAATATTTTCATTAATGACATAGATGAGGGAATAGAAGGGGAACCAAATTTGTAGGTGATATTAAGCTGGCAGAAATAGCTAACACCCAAGAAGATAGGCTCAAGATCCAGATGTTCTTGACAGACTGGGCCATATTTAACAAAATGAAATTCAATGTATAGAAAAGTAAAGTCCTACACAGGCAAGAAAAGCCAAAAGTACACATATAGACTGAGTGAAACCAGGCTTAATAGCAGTAACTGTGAGAGGGCTCATGGAGTCTTAGTGGACAACCAGCTAAATATGAGCCAGCAGTGTGCAGCAGCAGTGAAAAAAGCTAATGCAATCCTAAATTGCATTAACAGAGGGATACAATCAAGATCAAGGGAAGTACTAATACCACTCTATAAAGCCTTAGTAAGATCACACCTAGAGTACTGCATCCAGTTTTGGTCACCACACTAAAACAACACCATAAAAAAGATGTATAGAAAAAGTACAGAGAAGAGCAACCAGGATGATTAGGGGACTGGAGATTAAAACATGAAGAATGGTTACAGACTGGGCATGGTTAGTCTAATGAAGAGAAGGACCAGGGGAGACATGATAGCAGTCTTCCAATATTTGAGGGGCTGCCACACAGAGGAAGGGGTCAAGCTATTTTCTAAGGCACTTGAAGTCCAGACAAGAAATAATGGATGGAAACTGAACAAGGAGAAATTTAACCTGGAAATAAAGAGAAACTTTCTGACAGATGTAGTAGAACAATCAACAGCTTGTCCTCGGAAGTTGTGGGAGCACCATCACTTGAGACTTTCAAGAAGAGATTGGACTGCCATTTGTCAGAAATGGTGTAGGGTCCCTTCCACCTCTGATTATCTGTTATCTGTTTTGCTTAGCCTCTCCCTGAATCCAAGTGTGTGGAAAGCTGCCACCCAGGATTTGTCAAGTTGCCTCGGGAAGGAGAGCCCGCTTGCTGTTACGACTGTGTTCCTTGCGCAAAAGGGACCATCTCCACTAATGAAGGTGGGTGGCTCTGAAGGAGAAGCACCACCAGTGGGAGTGGTAGCAGTGGTCAGTGGAAGAGTCTGCTTTCTCCATTGATGTCTTTCTTTTTTGGCTTCCTTGCCTTAAGATCCAGAACTAGTTTTATCAAGTGAAGTGTAAGAAAATATCTGGGTGAAAGATGGCTTTTCAGCCAGCCCTTCTTTTTCCTTTGATCACCTCTGCAGAGTTGTTAGAAGAAAAATGAGGACCTTTGTATGAAAAATGACATAACTTTGCACATTCAATGCTGATATTATTTCAGCAAGGTTTCTCCAAAAGATTCAAAAAGCCATATTAATGAGAAAAATGCTAAAAATACAGCCACACACAAAAAGAATATTTTAAAGTACATCAGGTTCTCAGGTAAAAGTAGGTGTGAATGAAATTGATTGCTCCGAAATATAAGAAACAAAATAGATAGAATTTACCAATTTTAATGATGCATTTATAGAAGAGATGATAATGATGGACAAGGTAGACAGATGGAGAAAAGGCAGACATTACAGGAGGTGGATAAATCACATTTCTCTCCTCTCTCTTATCTACAGATGCAAAAACATGCACCAAATGTCCAGAGACTCAGCATCCAAATAAGAAACGTGATCAATGCATCCCCAAAGTGATAACCTTCCTATCCTACAGAGAACTTCTGGGGATCATCTTGGCTTTCTTTGCCCTCTTCTTATCTTTAGCCACAGTGCTTGTCTTAGCGATCTTTATAAAACACTTAGAAACTCCATTAGTCAAGGCCAACAACCGAGACCTCTCATATATCCTTCTCATCTCCCTGTTGTTCTCCTTCCTGACTTCCTTCCTCTTCATTGGCCAGCCAAGGAAAGCCACTTGTCTTCTCCGTCAAATGGTTTTCAGCATTGTCTTCTCAACTGCTGTCTCCTCCGTCTTAGCCAAGACAATTATGGTAGTGTTGGCCTTCCTGGCCACAAAGCCGGGAAACACCATGAGGAGGTGGCTGGGGAAGACTCTGGCCAGCTCCCTTGTACTTTCTTGTTCTGGGATCCAAACTCTCATTTGCTCCATCTGGCTAGGAATCTCTCCCCCCTTCCCTGACTCTGACCTCCACTCCCAGCCTGGAGAGATCATCCTGCAATGCAATGAAGGGTCTGTTGCCATGTTCTATGGAGCCCTGGGCTACATGGGCTTCCTTGCTGGCATCTGCTTCACAGTGGCTTTCCTGGCCAGGAATCTCCCTGGGGCCTTCAATGAAGCCAAGCTGATCACCTTCAGCATGCTGGTCTTCTGCAGTGTCTGGGTGAGTTTTGTGCCTGCTTACCTGAGCACCAAAGGGAAATACATGGTGGCTGTGCAGGTCTTCTCCATCTTGTCCTCTGGTGCTGGTCTGTTGGGCTGCATCTTCATTCCCAAGTGCTACATTATTATCTTGAGGCCAGATCTCAATACAAAGGAGCAGCTTGCATTAAAAGTAAAATAAAAATATAGGTTTGTATTTTTTAAAAAAAAGATTAAGATGATAATTTAGGATTCCTCATCACAAAATATTTTGTGTAGTTTATATTTTAAAAAAACAAACCTGCCTATTTCTCATTATCTCTCCAACCTTTTTCCTATTATCCTAGGTTAGATTTATGGAATTGTAATAAAACTGGAGCAGAGGCTAAACAATTTTTTTCCAGAATGATTTATTTACAAATTAGACCTCAAAATATATTACTCTGGTTTACAAATACTTTTGGTTGTGGTGTCTCATTCCCAAGAATTATGGCTATTTTTGTTTAATCTTTTCTTTATTCATTTAAAATTCAACAATCTCTTTTTGCCTTATAGTTTCAGGACATACTCATGCCCAAACTGGACAATTTTTTAATTTGTTTGTTTGTTTGTTTAGATCAGTAATACTAAATGAAATTAAACAAGGAAAATGAAACGAATCAAATGATTGTGGTTTGTATTGTGTTTCACATGTATAGGTTTGCCTTGTTGTTCCCCATCTAAGTTCTAAGAAGTTTGTTGCAGGCTGGAAATATTGTTAATAAATCTTATTATTAGAAATCTTCCTTGTAAAGAAACCTCTGCCTCTTTGGAACTAAGAAATGGGGTCCCCCAGAGGATCCAATTCTGAGAGGTGAATTGCCATTTTCTCTGTTCAAGCTGAGAGGAAAAACTAAGTTAAGCATAATTTAGGAGCTAAAATGTTTATCTCAATAATATATTGAAAGAATTATTCTGCTTCATTAAACAGCATAAGCTGCCTGATTTGTTAATTTATTTTTCTTGGTTTTCAATTCATAACAAAAAAACAGAAAAATAAAATAGTAAAATAATAGTGATGATTATACTTTATCAAAGAAAAAAAAGAAATCATAAAAATGCCAAGAGAAATGACAAAGAAAAAAAAGATAACATGATAAGTTGCTATAACAATAAATAGTTACAATTTTATATATAATTGCAGGCAATTTTGAAAGAAAGTTTTAAAAAGGTTGATCATTTACAAAACAATTCCAGCAGACTTAATTATTATATATATGATTAAAATTTTACAACAATTGTCTATTGTTTTAAACCTGAGAGAAAAAAGAATTTTGAATTTGCAAATAAACCAAGAAAATGATTGGCTCACAAGCTGAGAAAGGAGAAACAAAAGAAAACGATATTGAAAATTGAGAAAAGAGAAAAGAGAAAAAATATTATTGGGTTATGCAAGTATAGAGAAATCTTGTTACGACTTTTGTTCCAATTTGTATAAAAGAAAAGATGCTTATCTTTAAAAAATGTAACTTACCCAAACACTCCCAAAGCCAGAGACAAATTATGAATATCCTACAACTATTATAAATATATCAGAAGAATTATAGGCCAATTTCCTTATTGAATTATGATTTTGAAGTGTGTGTTAGAAGACAGGGTCTTCAATGAGAATTATTTTCAAGGAATTAAGTCTATTTACATCTCAGTAGGCTCAAATAATGATTAATAGTGATCTAAATGGCCTATAGTTAGGAACAAGAGTAGAGCAAAAGAGATTAGGATGATGCCCAGATGTTCTTCATAAGACAGGAAGGTTATAATTTTGAGGATACATTGAACTCGGACATCATTTGGATATTTATCATCGGGGCACTTGGTGTACTTTTCTGTATCTGAGAAAACCAAAAAGAAATTTTTCTTTAATATTCTACCCTTTTACCTTTCAGGATATACCTCCTTGGGACACCTGCTACCTTGAGCATTTTTGCAAATATATTTCTTCACATATCCCCAGAAAATAAATAGGAAGAATATCATTTTCTAAAACAAATAACTGTATTTCTAATAGTCTATAAAACTGCAGGAAGTCCTAGGATGTGAATAATTTCCCATGTTATGTATAGAGTCCTCATAGTAACCATTACTATTAGAGGTAAATTATGAATTAGTTAATCTTTCTAGGCTAACTTCCTACATTGTGCCAGATAGTACTTCTTAATTTGCTGGATGAAGAGTATGTTCATCTTGTGAAATCTAGTTGACTGGCCAGTAAAATGAGACCTACAAATAATCTGGAATGGCTATTGGCAACTGTGGTTTGTATGGGTGTAATGAGGTGCACCCCTAATTGTTCATACTGCCTCATTGTTCACTTAGATCACAATGATCCTCAAGAGGAAGCCCATACAAAATGTACTACAATAATACCTTCAAGATGGTGTATTAAGTATCTGGGGGTACAGATGACTAACAATCTGACTGAAACTCTTCACATATTATCATTAGTGAAGCGTGCAAAGCAGCGTTTGCATTTCCTGAGTCGGATGAGGAGAGCACATCCTTCCCTCCTGGCCACTTTTTATAGAGGCACAATTGAGAGTGTTTTAGATATAATTCTTTATAGGCCAAGTGTGATTGGGCACCCAAGGAATTTGTCTTCAGTGCATATGCTCTCAATGTACATAAAAGATACATTCGTCAAGAGTCAAGAACAACACTTAATAATAGTCATAGGGTACAATAAGTAGATAGATAGATAGATAGATAGATAGATAGATAGATAGATAGATAGATAGATGGATGGATGGATGGATGGATGGATGGATGGATGGATGGATGGATGGATATTATAGGGAGATGATAGGTAGGTAGGTAGGTAGGTAGATAAGCAGACAGACAGACAGAAGCATTCTGTGCAGAGGTTGCTCATACTAATATTACTACATACACCATACAGGATTATGACACTGAGCTAACTTGTGACAAAACTCTCCCAGGCTTCTCTCACTTGGGGAAAAGATGAAGTTCAATTCATCACATTCAATTCATCACATCCACAGGTCCATGATACATAGAAAATCATTGGGGGACTTCTCTTCAGTTGAGATATTCTCGTATTAGAGCAATGGTTGAATTTTATTTTTATTTCATTTATTCAATTTATATAGTCATTTAAAACTCTGGGTGGCTTACAGAGAAAGCATTAGCAGTACCAAAACAATAAAAATATACAGCAGCCATACAAGCAACAGAAACATTAACTTTTAAACAAGGAGAAACCATTCATTAAAGTGACCAGGAGAGCACAGACATTCAAGAAGAATCTAACTATTTTATGGACTCCTTATTCCCACGCTAAATGACAAAGCCATTTCTTCAAGGCTTTCCAAAAAGTGAACAAGAAGCCAGCCTGACTTTCAGGCAGAACAATATTCTGTACAGTGGGCACAGCAGCAGAAAAGGCCTCCTCCCAGCTTCCATCAGGTAACATTTCCTACTGCAGAGTTCACCAATCTTTCTGGGTTGGTGGACTGGAGGGGGAAGGGGCAGGCACCTTTAGGCATGCATGCACATGTGCAAATGGGGCTGCAAGCATGTGTATGATGCAAACAGGGCCACTAGCACCCACTCATGGTGATGTTAGTGACCTGCGATGATTGCAGCGATGCTAGTGTGAGTGGGGGGTATGAGTGCATGCATAGACAAGCACACCGGCCATCCAGTTATAAGGCCTAGTAGCCAGTAAGGTTGTGGACAAAACCTGCAACAAGACTCTGTTATTGAACCTGATGGGATGATTACTGGAGATCATGATTGATGACTTTTGTCTGTGGATGTCTTGGCTGTGGATGTGTCCCATTGGAGAATATAGATTCAGGGGGCAGGGGAAGATCAGGATCAAGGGTGAAATGAATTATGTGTCTCAGAGTCGACTGGCTGTCAGGGCTCCGGCATCCACCCCTATTCAAATCATGCATCTCTAGCCACATATCTCAGAGTAAAAAAACAACAACAAGATTTATTAGGAGTGAACATGCCGGTGCTACCGGGGTGCAGCCGACTCTGAGACACATCGTTCATTTCACCCTTGACCCTGGTCTTCCCCCACCCCCTGGATGTTTATTCTCCAATGGGACACATCCATAGCCAAGAGTCATCAATCATACTCTCCAGTAATAATCTTGTGCACCAGAAGCTTCAGCCGCCTACCCATTATCTATGAAAGCATTTAAGGAATGCACTACTTCCCCCACTCCCTTTCTGCTGACAACTCTAAAAGACCAGAGAAATATTTTTGAGTTGACAATGGGATATCTTGATGTTATGTCTCACCTTTACAAAGGAGGTGAGAAGTCCAAATTCCAATTGAATACAAACAAGCAAGCAAATCCAGTAATTATAAAGTTAATTCCTTGAGCCGATAATTTTTTTGGCAGTCTCACACATGCTGTCTGCCAAGTCCGACAAGAAAGCAGGAATGTAAATCACAAAAGCTATCACAACACAGAATAATCTGGAGCTCCTCTGAATAAGTCACACATTGTCCCGTACAAAACTCTCAGAGCGAACACACCCACTTTTATTCCCTGTGGGGTGTGTCAGTCCCTCAGCTCAGTCTCTGATTCATCCCTTCCTCCTGCATTGTAGCTCACACTTTTGCCTGCGACACTGCCTCGCATCAAGCCAGCATTCCTCTGCTTGATTCTCAGTCAGAGACTCTGATATGCTCTCCTCCTTTTCCTGATTAGCCTCAGGTTTTCCCTCTTGGTTATCTGCCGACACCTGAGGCACAATCAGGGAGGAAGGCATTACCAAAGAAGAAGGTCCTGGGGAGGAAGGCATTTCCAAATCCTCCTCTTCCCCATTGCCCAAGTCTTCATCCTCTAACAATGCAGGCTCAAACCTCAGAGCCACAACATCTTGATGTGATTGTACAAATAGTACTTTACAATTTTTAGAAACCTCATAAATGATGCAAATATTTGTGTCCCAGGATAATGTTGCAGGATCCAATCTGGGTAAGTCATAGGAACCAGCGGTTTAGTCTTCTAAGCATTTGAACTCATGATGCGGCCCATCATCAGGGAACTTCTCTTGCTCCAGAATATGTTAGAGAGAGAAATTCCATGAAGATGGGTCCAGCATGAGTCCAAAAGCTTGGCAGAGTAAACCACAGGTCCCAGGGAGCATTTTGAGATTCCACTGTAAATGAAGTCTGGATTACTACAGGGCATTGGAATCCCAGTCCTGAATTGATGTTTGATCAACTGTCCTTTAACTACCTTAGTGCCATTTTTTTCCCTTTATGATACAGAAAAAAGGAATGGGCAACCTATGGTTCTTCTGATTCCTTTATCCTTTTGATCAAACTCTTCCCAGCCATTTCTGCACATTATTCCTGGTTTTGTGGTCCAGAACAGAGGTGGGATTCAACCAATGTAATAACTGTGTGAACTCATAAAACATTTTATATACACATTTTATAATTGGCAACAGAAAGAAGGGGGGGAATTTCAAAGAGCAGGAAAGTGGAATCGAAAGTACATTCCATTCATATTTTCTTCAAAGACTGATTAGATGACTGAAACTTCTGCCATGCAAAAATCTAATTGGAGAGCATGATTGATGACTCTTGGCTATGGACATTTTTTATTGGATGATACACCCAGAGGGTGCGGGGGGGAAGCAGGATCAAGGGTGACAGTGAATTACATATCTCAGAGTTGGCTACACCCAGGTTAATGCTGGACGTAGAATGTTAACTTCAAATAAATCTTTTTCAGTTTTGGGAGTGTGGCTCATGATTTAATTGGAGTAACTGCCGGAATCTTGACAAACCAGTTTGGTCAGCACACGTATGCACAGCATTTGAAAATCATCTTCTTCTGCAAGCCCTGTGTAACACAAGGTGCGCACAGCAATCAGCTGTGCTGTGCAAAGCAGCTGAGGTTGAAAAAACAGGAAATAAAGGACAGTCTCACTCAGTGGCTCATCTCCAAAATTTAGACACCATCCCTAAAGCGTTTTTTGAAAAGGCAACTGCATGTTGGGGTAACGTAAAACTAGGAATTTGTCAACTTTAGTTGAGAATAAGGTTGCAGGGTTTTTTTTAAATATATCTGGTGCATCATTTGGGGGTCCTTTCAAAGTCCAGTTGCCTTTTGAAAAATTGTGTATGGGACAAGATCTGGATGATCCAGAATCTTCATAGACATTTAGACACCGTCTGTGACTTCTTTCCTCTTGACTATTATGCAAATTATAGTGATTTAATGGTTGTCTTGTTGTTAACTCTCTAAAGACTTTTCTGCAACCTTTGAGAAGATCTGGCACAAACATGCCAATAATATATTTTCACCTTGATTTCACAAAAACCTCTTGGGCTGATGCCATGGCATTGGAAATACCTGAGTGCGTAAACCAAAAGGGGAAAGGATCTGGGGAGGTATTTAAGGAGAGTTTGCTTTTTCTCCTCTTTGCTTTAGAAATGGAGTCTTGGCTGAATTCTGTCTAAAATAAGAACGCCTCCTTCCCACCTCCCCTTCCCACTTTTGTTCAATTCACTCAGCAGGTTGTAGGCTCCATAAAGAGTGTGTCATGTTGTTGTTTCTGCTGCTTCTGTGGGCCCAGGGAGTCAGGGGGTTGCTCAAAACCAAATGTCCCCTGACTCTACAGAGGGATGAGGTGGACCCAAAGAATCATTACAAGCCAGGAGAGCTTTCCATTGGTGGCATCATCTCTGCAACTCAGGCTACGTTTGAAAGATTAAGTTTCAAAAAATCTCCTGTGACTCCAGTTTATGAGTAAGTTTAGTTTCCTGTACTGCCTTAGAGAAAGGCTATTTCTGCCTTATTTCAACAGTTCCAGCGAGCATTCTTTCATATCGTGTTTGTGGCTCCATTTTAAACCCTGCAGTTGAGTAGCTTCTTTTGAAAATTTCAAGTACATAGAGCAAGCATCTTTTTCTTCCCCTCAACTTTGAAAAACAAACAGCCACTTTCCTTGACAGAGCTGGACTGACAATAGGGAGGAGGGGGGGTGTATTTCTTTCTACCCCTCCCTTCTGCCACAAAGGGTCAATATATAACACAAAAAAGTAGGAATGCTATGGGTTTTTTTTCCATGCACTGAAATTCCAATAGCCTTCCTCTTCTGTTTGTTGTTTGTAGGTTCATAGATAACATGAAAGAATTCCAGATCAGTATTTATTATTTCACTGAGCTTCCATGTCTCCTAATGCCCAGTTTGAACCTTAATCCTATAATGAATTAAATGAAAAGTATGTTTCCGGTCAAAGACCTTTGATAACGGACATCAAAATACAAATGTTCAGGAACCGATAAATTTTTAGCTTGGTTAAAGATCAAAGTGTGTATGTGGTGTGTGTGTGTGTGTGTGTGTGTGTGTGTGTGTGTGTAGGTTTGTGTCCCTTGTATGTACTTAATGATTTGATATTTAGTATGGAAAAATAGACCAAGAAGCTCTAACATTAAAACCTGGAGAACTTAATTGGAGAGAAAAAGAGGATATTTAAAGTCTGTCTGAACTACAGACTTTAACTACAAAGATACTGACCACCTCAAGAATAAGCCAAAGCTAATAAATAGATTCCTTTAGATGTAAATTGCTGAGAATGTTAAAACAAATATAAATTGAAAGAATCTCAGAGTTCCATTAAATAAATGAGATTTCTGGATACTGATTCAGAGGAGGAGAGGCAATAAATTAAACTAAAAATTAAGTATAAGTATAAGAATGGAATGGGATGGGATGGAATGGGATGGGATGGGATGGAATGGGATAGGATAGGAGTTGGAAGGGACCTTGGAGGTCTTCTAGTCCAACCCCCAGGCTTGAAATATTCATTTCATTGATTACTGTATATTTAATAATTATTTTGCAGCATATTAGGAACACAATACTGGAAGATGCTATCCTTCCTTTTTGCTATCCAGGAGATCAACCAGGATTCCCATCTCTTAACCAACATCACTCTGGGTTACAATGTCTATGAAAATTATTTCAATGTAGGAAAGACTTCGGATGCTTTGCTGGACCTGCTCTCAGACGGGGAGGCCAATGTCCCCAACTACAGTTGTGGGAGGCAGAGAAACACAGTGGCTGTTCTGGAAGGGGCTGAGACTGACTTCTCCATCCAGATATCATCCATGTTGGACACCTACAAAATGCCACAGGTGAGTCTTTGCTGAGAAGATATGTTTTGTTTTATTTTTTTTAACTATAAATAACTTTTATTGAAAATAAAGTATATATTCTAAAATAAGTGGGATTTATCTAGAGTCTACTATATCTATAATGTCCAAAAATACAAAAGGAGGTTTAAATATTCTGTTATAAACTTTCCTTTATACTATTGATCTTACTATAGAACTGACAGTCAGCCGTTCTCTTGTCTTCAAAATGGCAGTCCTGCAACATTTGCACAGTCACTCTCCTATACTCTTTTCTTCTTGTTGTCTTTCTTCTCTTTCTCCGTTGGAGCACAGAACACTAACACTTCCGTTCAAGATGTATAATTCTCTCCCAGTCTCTCAGAGCACTTTCCAATGCTTTTCAGTTCCATCTTCCCTTCTTCACTTCTCTGTAGCTCCATAGCTGGCTCCGTACTTTGCCCTCTTATTATTCCTCCCTCCCCTTCAAGTTGCTGCCAATTCACCACTTGGAGATTCACTCTGCTTTCTTGTTGCTCCTCCAGATCAATCTCCACCAAAAGCCAATGTTTGGAACTTGATATTCTTTTCTGCTCACACTGCCGCTATCACACTGTTCTCACTCTCTGCTTCCTTCCTCTTTGAAATGGAACGTCAAGCCTCTGGGTCCGCCATAAAGGCTGGCTTTTTCTGCATTGGATTTGAGGGTCCCTTCTTAACGCAGGGGAGATTGCATCTCTCCACATCGTTTCCAAAGGTTTTGCCTCTTTACTGTCGGTCCCCCCAGGACCAGGCTTTGCCTCAGGAGGCCACTGATAGCATGAATTTCGACATTGGGAATGGAGTGTTGTTCCCCTATGCTGCCATGACACCATGTCACCACCAGAAGTTGAGAAGATATATTTTAATTGTGGAGCTTTTGATCAGAGATCCTTTTGGGACAGAATTGGTATTTTACCTTTCATGAGTCTCAGATAAAATACCACTTTTTCCTCCCTTTTCAGATTACTTTCAATCAGGCAGTTTTCAATTAGAGGACCTCTCTTATAAATGAAAATCAGATATTTATTATTGAGATGATAGTTTGGGTTATCCAAAGGGAGGGTGGGGAGAAACAAATATATCCCCTTTCTCTGTGGTCCCAGTCTAGATTTGACTTCTGTGATTAAAAGAAATCACCTCTCAAGTAGCAAATTGGGAAAGAAGCGGTGCATGAAGCAATGAGTGAGTAGAGAAGTCTCAACTGCAAGGAGGGGAATTCACCGTTCATTATTTTGGAAGAAATATCCTTCTGGGTTCAGTTCCAAGTGGGGGAAAGGACACTGGAAACATGGAGGCTGTTTGGAAAGATGGTTTAATGGTGGACAGGACCACATGGGTTTCAGGTCCTGGGCAGCTGAACACACAGATTGGAGAGTGTTATTTATATCCTCTCTTGGGCCTTCTCCTTGAGCTTCCTGTTCCTGTGGCAAGGGCATGTATTCTATTGGTTGCTTTCAGACTCCCATAGGGCTATGCAGGGGTCACATTTGAGGTTATCTGTATTGGAAGAAATATCCTTCTGAGTTCAGTTCCAAGTGGGGAAGAAAGACACTAGAAACATGGAGGCTGTTTAGAAAGATGGTTTAATGGTGGACAGAATCATATGCCTTGGAGCTCTTGGGCAAAGAAAAGGGAAGAAGTGCTGAGAGTCCCTGGGTTTTATACCCTCTCTGGCTTTGAACTTCCTGCAGCATAGGAACAGTATCCTGACTAATTGCTGCCAGAGGTCATAGCTAGCTTTTAGGTTGTCTGTGTGCTACGTTTGGTTGAAACTTGGTGGGTGGTGCAATGAAGGGCAATGAAATGGTTCTGCCTGAAAGAGGTAGATCTGTGTTATGCAGAATAGACTGGCCCAGGCCTTAATGGCCCATTAACAAAGGTGGGAGGGGCTGAGTTTCTGCCTCTCTGAGTTTCTACTTCTCTTTTAGGGGAAATACTCTGCCTTTTTAGGAAATATCCTAACACATTTCATTTTCCTAGGAGAGGGATGGGTTTTAACTTCCAACAATTAGAATTGTTTTAGCCCTCTTAGATAAAATAACCCCTTTTCCTTATTTTTTTAGATTAGTTACAATTTTGTTTCCCAGATTCTGATGGATAAAACTGGGTTTCCTTTCTTCTACCCAATGCTCCCTGCTGAAGGATTCCAATATTCAGGGACAGTCAAACTTCTCCTCCATTTCAAGTGGACTTTGGTTGGCCTGATTGCTCCGGACAGTGACCAGGGGCAGAAATTCATCATAACATTGACTTCCACACTGATCAGAAATGGCATTTGTCCGGTTATTTCACATACCTTTTCGAAAAGAGTTTTTCATTTCTCTCTCTATTTTCCCCTGTATCACAAATGGAGAGAAGTGAATGTTTTCTTGTATGCTGCAGAGGTTGATTCGATCAGCATAGGAATAGCCATCCTATACCTGGCCCATGAAAACATTAAGGGAGTTGTTGCAGGAAAAGTCTTGATAACAACATTCCTCTGGGATTTAAAGGTTTATTTCACAGAGCAGAAGTTCCCTTTGCGATTCCTTCATAACATTATTTCTTTTCTTTTGAAGACAAATCAAATATCCCAGGATGGTGATTATAGGCAGTTTTATTTTTCCATGAGACATTTTGCAGAGAAATCCTTTCTGTGCTCCTATACCAAGAATGCCTTTTCTGTGAAAATCTGGAGACGGTGCAAAGAAAGAGAACTGCAGCCTCCATCCCAGGAGGAGATGGGTTGGATCCAGTATTTAGATAACCTTTTCAATTACAAGGCCATCTGGGCTGTGGCCCGGGCCTTGCATGCATCCTATATATCCAGATCCAAGAGGACAAAGATGGGAGGTGGTAAGAGCTTGGAAACTCCATGGCTGAAGGCTTGGCAGGTATTTGTTTTCTGTTACATGCTTCTTTCCTGCCATTGAGAACCTGTTTTGTATTTGTAAGAAATTGGCAGTTATTCTGGGGAGGGGGAATCATTTATTCTGAATAAAAATAAATAAATGAATTGAATTCCAATTGTCCAGTCACCTTTTTGAAGAGTAATAGAGTTTTGTTATGTCAGCCTTCCTAGCTAGATCAGACAGAAAACAAACCTTATGAACTATTTAGAATAGAATAGAATAGAATAGAATAGAATAGAATAGAATAGAATA